CGGTGTTGCTCGTTGCTCCCCCTTCCCCCCTTCCCCGGCAACAGCAATAAGGTTGGGCTGGCGGCGGTGTCCTCGCCCCTACTTGACTGTAGAAGGAAGGGAGCCGTCAGGAGACCACCCGGCTGGGCCTGGGAGGTTGTCCTCGCGTTGTCCATCGGGCATCCGGAAAAATCATGTGGGAATCTAGATCTTGGGGATCCTCAGCGCTGGGGTGGTCGATTTCCTGAGGGAACCTTTGGATTTCGTCAGTGACCCGGTGTGTTTCTCAAGGAGACGGGAGCCCTGAGAAGATTGTTTGAAAGTCAGGAGGGATCTTGCTTCCGTTGGGAGCTTCCCTTGGGAATCCAAGGGGTCCCTCCGAAATGCAATTCTCCCCAGTCCCTTACGAATTCTTCAGGGAAGCCTCGCGACCCCTTTCAGGGCCCTGGGGGCTTCTCAGGCCGCCTAGGGTTTCCTTGGGGGTCTTTTTTGTTGTTTTTCTTTGTCACCTGGCAATAACGGGCGTGACGGGGGGGGGGTAGTCACGTCACGATTCGCGCCGGCGCCGTCCAGGAATGCTGAGGAATGGACAATTGCGCTGGCCTTACGGCCTGTGCCGCCGACCCTGGAGGCATCGGCTCTCGAGGGAAACGGGGGGGAGAGGGCGGGGAGGAGGAGGAGACGGAGGAGTGAAGGAGGAGGAACAGGTGGGAGGAGGAGCAAGAGGAGCATGAAGATGCGGAGGAGAAATGGAAAAGGTAGAGAAGGGGGAGCAGGAGTTAATGGATGGAGCAGGCAAGGACGACGAACACGTGGGGGAGGACCAGTGAAAGCTGTCAGAGAGGGGTGAAGAAACAGGCACGGATGATGCGGGAGGGGGTTTTCGGGAGCAGCTCTCGTTTCAGGGGACTACAACACTGGGGGCAGACAGTTCATGACATTTGTGAGTGCCTGGGGTCGCAGGAGGTGCGACGGCGTCGTCGTCGTCGTCGTCGTTGTCGTCGTCGTCCGTCGTTGCCGTCGTCGTCGTCGTCGTCGTTGTCGCACTCGTCGTCGTCGTCGTCCTAGGCGTCGTCGTCGGCACGAGCATCCCAAGGACAGAATTTGACACGAGAGTGGCGTGTTGAATCCTGTCCTCGTGTCGGCGTCGTTGTCTGTCGTCGCCGTCGCACCCGTTGTCGTCGTCGTTGTTGTCGTCGGCACAAGGACCCCAAGGACAGGATTTCACACGAGAGTGGTGCGTTACATTCTGTCCTCGTGTCGTCGTTGTCGTCGTCCGTCGTCGACGTCGTCGTCGTCGTCGCACCCGTCGTCGTCGTCCGTGGCCTTGGCGTCGGCACAAGGACCCCAAGGACAGAATTTAACACGAGAGTGGCGTGTTAAATCCTGCCCTCGTGTCGTCGTCCGTCGTCGTCGTCGACGTCGACGTCGCACTCTTTGTCGTCGCCCTTGCCGTTATCGTCGTCGTCGTCGTCGTCGGCACAAGGACCCCAAGGACAGAATTTAACACCAGAGTGGCGTGTTAAAGTCTGTCATCGTATTGTCGTCGGCGTCGGCGTCGACGTCGACGTCGTCGACGTCGCACCCGTCGTCGTTGTCGTCGTCCTTGTCGTTGCCGTCGGCACTGGGGCCTCCAGGACAGAATTTAACACGAGAATGGCGTGTTAATTCTGTCCTCGTGTCGGCGTCGTCGTCGTCGTCGTCGTCGGCGTCGGCACGAGGACCCCCAGGATAGAATTTAACACGAGAGTGGCGTGTTAAATTCTGTCCTCGTGTTGTCGTCGTCGTCCGCGTTGTCGGCACAAGGACCCCGAGGACAGAATATAACACGAGAGTAGCGTGTTAAATTCTGTCCTCCTGTCGTCGTCGTCGTCGTTGTCGTCGTCCGTCGTCCTCGTCGTCGTCGTCGTCGCACCCGTCGTCGCGACGACGACGCGTCGTCCTTGTCGTTGTCGTCGGCACAAGGACCCGAAGGTCAGAATTTAACACGAGAGTGGCGTGTTAATTTCGTTTCGTCGTCCGTGGTCGTCGTCGTCGTCGTCGTCGTCGTCGTCGACGTCGCACGCTTCGTCGTCGCCCTCGTCGTCATCGTTCTTGTCGTCGTCGGCACAAAGACCCGAAGGACAGAATTTAACACGAGAGTGGCGTGTTAAATTCTGTCCTCGAGTCGTCGTTGTCGTCGTCGTCGTCGTCGTCGACGTCGACGTCGTGGACGTCGCACTCGTCGTCGTCGTCGTCGTCCTTGTCGTCGCGTCGGCACTAGGGCCCCAAGGACAGAACTTAACACGAGAGTGGCGCTTGAATTTCTGTCCTCGTGTCGGCGTCGTCGTCGTCGTCGTCGTCGTCGACGTCGCACGCGTCGTCGTCGTCGTCCTCGTCGTCGTCGTCGTCGTCGTCGTCGTCGGCACAAAGACCCGAAGGACAGAATTTAACACGAGAGTGGCGTGTTAATTTGAGATGCCTCTTGGAACGTCTGATGGGCATCTCAGGTGCCTCTGTCCCTCGCTACCCCCCTCGCTACCCCGCCTCGCTACCCCCTCCCGGGACCCCCCCCCCGGCCTTCGCGCGCGGAAGGGAAGAAAGGGAAGGGGCTTGCCTTTGATCCAGAGGCGACATTGCGAATCCGGGAGGGCGATGTATCTGACCGAGAAGCCCCAGGAGGGCGGCGTATCTGACCCAGGACCCCCCTCGCTAACCCCCCTCGCTACCCCCCCTCGCTACCCCTCCGGGACCCCCCCCCCGCGCGGGGAAGGAAAGAAAGGGAAGGGTGTTCCCTCTGACCGAGAATCCCCAGGAGGGCGGCGTATTTGACCCAGGACCCCCCTCGCTACCCCCCCTCGCTACCCCTCCCGGGACCCCCCCCCCCCGCGCGGGGAAGGGAAGAAAGGGAAGGGACTTCCCTTTGCTTCAGAGACGACGAGGAAAAGGAACGGGACCACCCCCTTCCTCGCGCGGGGAAGGGAAGAAAGGGAAGAGGCTTCCCTTTGATTCAGAGACGACGAGGAAAAGGAAAGGGCAAAAAACGACGACGTTGCAGGGAAACGGGACAAAGGAACGACGAGGAAGAAGCAGCAAACAACAAAGCCTCTTCCACACGCCGACAGGGTCGGCGGATTTTTTATTTCCTACGCGTCGCCAGTGCAAATCGAGACGTGCCTGGGGAGAAGGGGTGGGCGCTGGGGCTGGGCACAGGCGTGATAACGAATTTCCCAAAGAGGCTCTTGAGGAATCTTCCCGCTTTTTGTGGGCCCCAGCGGCTTCCAAGTGGAGTCCGGAGGGCTCGTCGAGGCAGCCTGTTGATTTCCGAGGAGGTACTTCCACGAGACACCTGCAGGGAAGCGGAGGATCTCTCGTGGGTACGGCGGCCTGTGAAGTCCTTGGGTTTGGAGCCGTCGGGGGATCTGAGGTGGCCCAGCTTTGGTTTTAAGTCGAGCATGTCTCTCTACATAATGAATGTTCAATATTGGAAGCAATAGTCTGGTGACCTTTTTCCGTGCTCTTTTGATTCTTCTTGGTTATCTTTAGAGTGTTTTTCCGTTTCTCCGAAACCCGCCTGTAAGAGGACATGCCCGACCTAACACTGGTTCCGGCCAGCAGGAAGAAGATCCAGGTTGGAGGTTCCGGGCTCGAGAAGGTTTTTGCCTTTTCTCGCCTCCGGGGGCCCTTTTCGGGCCCCAGGGCTGTCAGAAACGGATCTGGGGTGGAAAATTTCGCTAGACGGACCCTGTCAGGGTTCTGGGGATAGATTTTGCATGGACTTGGCCTCATCTTCCCCCTCCTAATAGCGTTTCTTTTCTCGTGGCCCATCCAGCTCAGACCCCCCGGCCGCCTCCAACCTTGGGGAAACTTGTCGGAAGGCGCCACCTGCACCTACACCGATCCTGACCACGTCCATCCTGTGCCCAGATTCGGTGTGTACGCCTTCCTGGCCAAGGCAGGAGGGCGTAGACACCGATCCTGGGCCCAGGATAGGCCTGGCCAGGATAGGCCTGGCCATTGTGGGGCCATCCAGGTGGTCAGGGAAGCAGCGTGGATACCATCAGGAACCGTCTTGGGCCGCCTCCGAAGCCATTCTGACGAGCTGTCTTTATTTCATGGTCGTGACGCGGCCTTCCGGGTGGCTGGCGGATAAGAAATGCCAGTAAGCATTGTATACATCGGGTCGCCAAGCATCCCTGTGGCAAGCACAGGGGGTGGCGGATCTAAGACGCCTACGGTTAATCACCGTCAGCCCTTGCCTTTTTGGGAACCGTCTCTGTAGCCAAAAGTTTGGTCCCAGCTTGGCCAAGCTATCGGACTATGTATTTCCCCGGCCGTTCTGGAAACGCTTCGGAGCATTTGGGGGAGGAGGAGGAGGCCTCTTGGGAGGCTCTCGTGGCACTCTTGGGGCCTCCTGGGGAAATCCTGGGGGCATCTTTGAGGTCTCTTGGGGGCTTCCTTGGGCCTCTTTGGAGCCTCTGGAGGCTCCTTGGGAGGCTCTTTGGCAGTGTTCTGCGTTCCTGGCCCATCTGACGCCGTCGGAAGCCGTCTTGGGGGCGTCTCGAGGCGGACTTGGCGCCGTCCTGAGGCCCTCCTGGGGCCGTCTTGGGGGCCATTTTGGAGCTCTCTTGGGCGCTCTTGGAGCAGTCTGGAGGGCCTCTTCAGACACATTGCGCCTCTTGCAATCCATGCGGTGCAGTCGAGCTGGTGCAATCAATGTGGTGCAATCTAGATTGTGTAATCCATGTGGTGCAGTCTATGTGGTGTAAGGCGCTGCAACTCAATGTAACCCAATGCGAAACAATGTAAAGGACTGCAGCGCAAAGCAAATCAATGCAAATCAATCGCAACGCAACGCAATGCAAGGCAATTCTTGACGCTTCGCGTATACCCACCAGGTTCCATAGCCTCTGGCTCAAGGTGCCCCGAGGCTCCCCGCGGAGCACGCCGGCCGGCCCTGCGCAGAGAGCGCGAGCGAGCGACCCTCGCATACTCCCGCGAGCGCGGGGGAGGCGGCTGCCGCCCCCGGCGGAGCGCGCCCCATGGCGCGCGCTCGGCTGCTCGTCGCGTGGGCGGTGCTGAAGGCGGCCGTGGCGCGGACTGGTTCCTGGGACAGGCCAAGACATCCAGAGCTCGACGCCGGCCACGGCGTCGCGGAGAGTCGCGCCCAAAGCGGTGCGTTGTCTGCGATTGCAGCCAGCAGGGTTTCGACGGCTGTCACGCTCCTGCCTGCATGGTCGGGAGCGACGGGAGTGGCGCTGGGAGGGGCGCCACAGTGGGAGGACCGCCGGCCGGCGAGCGCCACACTTCGTCCCGCAGTGACGTTGGTGCCACTGGGCCAGACGTGCTACGATGCGGGCTTGCAAGACGTCGGGGCTTCTGATTATTGTTTCGACACAGCAGCGCCCTATCTCGGTATCTTCCCCGCCCAAAGGAGTTATATCCCAGGGTCGGTTTTTAGGGTCAGCTGTGTCTACGAAGCCAGCTCGGACACCATGATCTTTTCGCAGGCATCTGGCGCGCAGACCTCGGGATCTTCCGAATATCAGTTCCTCTGCATCGGGACATACACAACTACGGCCACGCACACTTCTATTATGGGCACTTCCCTGACCATCAGCTTGACGACGACCGCGACAGCCACGACCACCTCCCACGTGAACTACGTGCTTCTGGAAACTGGTAAGACTTGCCACGAGGCTGGCATGGAAGATGTCACCACCAGTGCAGAGTGTTTCGGACTTGCTAGACAACATTTCAATTTTAAGTCTGCTGCGACGTCCGATTTTTCAGGCAACGGCTTCGCCTTCACATGCGTGTTTCACACCACGGACTCGGAGATATATTTCGCGGACTCTAGCTCCGAAGGCGCCACCGGCTACTCGTACTACCGATACATTTGCAGGGGTGTCTTGACGACGACCGGCACCACCACCACCACCACCACGGCCCCGATTGTATTTCCGACCGGCAGCAGCCAGATAGCGTTGATGACAAATTTGACTGTCGACCACGTGGACGGCCGCCGGATGGCGGTCGCATGCGACATTGGATATAATGACACATGTGATGGTCAGGAGCACTGGTATGCCTGCGGTTCGGGATGTGTGAGCGGCCAATACTGGACGCATTGGAATTGCTATTGTTGCTGCGAGCAGTTGGGCGTGAAGCTCGTGGCCGCGGACGCGAACGCCTCCGACTACTTCGGGATATCGGTGGCCGTGAGCGCCGACGGGGCCCGGGTGGTGGTGGGGGCCTATGGGGACGACGACGCTGGGGCCGAGTCCGGGTCTGCCTACGTGTTCGACGGGGCCAGCGGCGCGCAGCTGGCGAAGTTCGTGGCCGCGGACGCGGCCGCCAACGACAACTTCGGGTTATCGGTGGCCGTGAGCGCCGACGGGGCCCGGGTGGTGGTGGGGGCCAATGGGGACGACGACGCTGGGTCCCTCTCCGGGTCTGCGTACGTATTCGACGGGGCCAGCGGCGCGCAGTTGGCGAAGCTCGTGGCCGCGGACGCGGCCGCCTCCGACTATTTCGGGCGCTCGGTGGCCGTGAGCGCCGACGGGGCCCGGGTGGTGGTGGGGGCCTATGGGGACGGGTGGACCTCCGGGTCTGCGTACGTGTTCGACGGGGCCAGCGGCGCGCAGCTGGCGAAGCTCGTGGCCGCGGACGCGGCCGGCTACGACTACTTCGGGTTCTCGGTGGCCGTGAGCGCCGACGGGGCCCGGGTGGTGGTGGGGGCTTATGGGGACGACGACGCTGGGTCCCTCTCCGGGTCCGTGTACGTGTTCGACGGGGCCAGCGGCGCGCAGTTGGCGAAGCTCGTGGCCGCGGACGCGGCCTCCGGCGATTACTTCGGGTCATCGGTGGCCGTGAGCGCCGACGGGGCCCGGGTGGTGGTGGGGGCCTATAGGGACGACGACACCGCGTTATCCTCCGGGTCCACGTACGTATTCGACGGCGCCGGCGGCGCGCAGCTGGCGAAGCTCGTGGCCGCGGACGCGACCACCTCCGACTACTTCGGGTTCTCGGTGGCCGTGAGCGCCGACGGGGCCCGGGTGGTGGTGGGGGCCTATGGGGACGACGATGCTGGGTCACAGTCCGGGTCGGCGTACGTGTTCGACGGGGCCAGCGGCGCGCAGTTGGCGAAGCTCGTGGCCGCGGACGCGGCCTTCTCCGACAGCTTCGGGTACTCGGTGGCCGTGAGCGTCGACGGGACTCGGGTGGTGGTGGGGGCCTACAGGGACGACGACGCTGGGGCCGAGTCCGGGTCCGCGTACGTGCTCGACTTCCCCACCTTGGCACCGACACCAGCGCCACCACCGACGCCAGCGCCGACGTCAGCGCCGACGGCGCCGACACCAGCGCCACCACCAACGCCAGCGCCGACGCCATCGCCGACGCCAGCGCCGACGCCAACGCCGACGCCAGCGCCGACGGCACCGACACCAGCGCCACCACCGACGCCAGCGCCGACGCCAGCGCCGACGGATTACAGTTGGGCGGCTATTGTTGGAGATTGCACGGTGGACGGCGACTGCTTGCAGAGCCCGAACTACCCTCAGATCTACGGTGCAAGCCAGGCGTGCAGCATCGCCGTACCCCTCGCCGTGGCAGTTCCCATCACTGTGGAGAGTTTCACCACAGAGCAATGTTGTGACAAGCTTACCGTCAATGGAGTGGTCTATTCTGGGAATTCTGGCCCCAGTGGCGTGACCCCCTCAGGGAGTATTTCCTGGACTTCGGACTCAAGTATTCAGAAGTCCGGGTGGAGGCTGTGCATGGCGGGCGCCAGCTTCAACGCGTCGCAGCCCACTCCAGCTCCGCAGCCCACGCCAGCTTCAACGTCGCAGGGCGTGAAGCTCGTGGCCGCGGACGCGGACGCCGTCGACTACTTCGGAAAATCGGTGGCCGTGAGCGCTGACGGGGCCCGGGTGGTGGTGGGGGCCTACTACGACGACGACGCTGGGTCCGCCTCCGGGTCCGCGTACGTGTTCGACGGGGACAGCGGCGCGCAGCTGGCGAAGCTCGTGGCCGCGGACGCGGCCGCCTTCGACTACTTCGGGCGCTCGGTGGCCGTGAGCGCCGACGGGGCCCGGGTGGTGGTGGGGGCCTCCGCCTTGTCACAGTCCGGGTCTGCGTACGTGTTCGACGGGGCCAGCGGCGCGCAGTTGGCGAAGCTCGTGGCCGCGGACGCGGCCGCCTCCGACTCCTTCGGGCGCTCGGTGGCCGTGAGCGCCGACGGGGCCCGGGTGGTGGTGGGGGCCAATGGGGACGACGACGCTGGGTCCGCCTCCGGGTCTGCGTACGTGTTCGACGGGGCCAGCGGCGCGCAGCTGGCGAAGCTCGTGGCCGCGGACGCGGCCGCCTCCGACTACTTCGGGTTATCGGTGGCCGTGAGCGCCGACGGGGCCCGGGTGGTGGTGGGGGCCGATGGGGACGACGACGCTGGGTCCCTCTCCGGGTCCGCGTACGTGTTCGACGGGGCCAGCGGCGCGCAGCTGGCGAAGCTCGTGGCCGCGGACGCGGCCGCCGGCGACAACTTCGGGCGCTCGGTGGCCGTGAGCGCCGACGGGGCCCGGGTGGTGGTGGGGGCCCACAAGGACGGCGACGCCGGGTCCGCCTCTGGGTCTGCGTACGTGTTCGACGGCGCCAGCGGCGCGCAGCTGGCGAAGCTCGTGGCCGCGGACGCGTCCGCCTCCGACTACTTTGGAGAATCGGTGGCCGTGAGCGCCGACGGGGCCCGCGTGGTGGTGGGGGCCAATGGGGACGACGACGCTGGGTCCGCCTCCGGGTCTGCGTACGTGTTCGACGGGGCCAGCGGCGTGCAGCTGGCGAAGCTCGTGGCCGCGGACGCGGCCTTCTCCGACAGCTTCGGGTACTCGGTGGCCGTGAGCGCCGACGGGGCCCGGGTGGTGGTGGGGGCCCACAAGGACGGCGACGCCGGGTCCTACTCCGGGTCCACGTACGTACTCGATTTACCTTCCCTGGCACCAACACCAGCGCCACCACCGACGCCAGCGCCACCACCGACGCCAGCGCCGACGCCAGCGCCGACGCCGGCGCCGACACCAGCGCCGACGCCAGCGCCGACGGCACCGACGCCAGCGCCACCACCGACGCCAGCGCCGACGCCAGCGCCGACGCCGGCGCCGACGCCAGCGCCGACGCCAGCGCCGACGGCACCGACACCAGCGCCACCACCGACGCCAGCGCCGACGCCAGCGCCGACGGATTACAGCTGGGCGGCTATTGTTGGAGATTGCACGGTGGACGGCGACTGCTTGCAGAGCCCGAACTACCCTCAGAACTACGGTGCAAGCCAGGCGTGCAGCATCGCCGTACCCATCACGGTGGCAGTACCCATCACGGTGGTGAGTTTCACCACAGAGTCTTTTTTTGACAAGCTTATCGTCAACGGAGTGGCCTATTCTGGGAATTCTGGCCCCAGTGGCGTAACTCCCTCGGGGAGTATTTCCTGGAGTTCGGACCACAGTCTTCAGAAGTCCGGGTGGAGGCTGTGCATGGTGGGCGCCAGCTCCCATGCGTCGCCGCCCACGCCAGCTCCGCAGGCGACGCCAGCCCCAACGAGCGCCACGGCGAACAGCACGACGGGGACCACCAGCAGCACGGAGACCACCAGCAAGACGGCAACCAGCAGCACCACCACCTTGACCAGCACCTCTGAAACCAGCACCTCTGAAACCAGCAGCACCACGCTCACCAGCACCAGCGCAACTAGCAGCACCACAGTGAGCACTACAGTGACCAACACAACAGGAACCATTAGCACCAGCGCGACCAGCAGCTCCAGCGCAAGCAGCAGCACCACCGCGAGCAGCACGACTGGATCTAGCAGTACGACGCGCACCAGCACGAGCGAAACAAGCAGCACCACGCGCAGCAGCACCAGCGCAAGCAGCAGCACCACTGCGACCAGCACGACGGGATCCAGCAGCACCACGCGCAGCAGCACCAGCGCAAGCAGTAGCACCACCTTGACCAGCACCTCTGAAACCAGCAGCACCACGCTCACCAGCATCAGCACCAGCGCGACCAGCAGCACGAGCGCAAGCAGCAACACCATTGTTTCCAGCACGACTGGAACCAGCACGACGGGATCCAGCAGCACCACGCGCAGCAGCACCAGCGCAAGTAGCACCATCACATTGACCAGCGCAAGTAGCACCAGCGCGACCAGCAGCACCAGCGCAAGCAGCAGCACCACCGTGAGCAGCACGACTGGATCCAGCAGTACGACGCGCACCAGCACCAGCGCAACAAGCAGCACCACGCGCAGCAGCACCAGCGCAAGCAGCAGCACCACTGCGACCAGCACGACTGGATCCAGCAGCACCACGCGCAGCAGCACCAGCGCAAGCAGTATTACCACCTTGACCAGCACCTCTGAAACCAGCAGCACCACGCTCACCAGCATCAGCACCAGCGCGACCAGCAGCACGAGCGCAAGCAGCAACACCATTGTGTCCAGCACGACTGGAACCAGCACGACGGGATCCAGCAGCACCACGCGCAGCAGCACCAGCGCAAGCAGCACCAGCGCGACCAGCAGCACCAGCGCAAGCAGCGGCACCACCGTGAGCAGCACGACGCGCACCAGCACGAGCGAAACAAGCAGCACCACGCGCAGCAGCACCAGCGCAAGCAGCAGCACCACTGCGACCAGCACGACGGGATCCAGCAGCACCACGCGCAGCAGCACCAGCGCAAGCAGTAGCACCACCTTGACCAGCACCTCTGAAACCAGCAGCACCACGCTCACCAGCATCAGCACCAGCGCAAGCAGCAACACCATTGTGTCCAGCACGACTGGAACCAGCACGACGGGATCCAGCAGCACCACGCGCAGCAGCACCAGCGCAAGTAGCACCATCACATTGACCAGCGCAAGTAGCACCAGCGCGACCAGCAGCACCAGCGCAAGCAGCAGCACCACCGTGAGCAGCACGACTGGATCCAGCAGTACGACGCGCACCAGCACCAGCGCAACAAGCAGCACCACGCGCAGCAGCACCAGCGCAAGCAGCAGCACCACTGCGACCAGCACGACTGGATCCAGCAGCACCACGCGCAGCAGCACCAGCGCAAGCAGTATTACCACCTTGACCAGCACCTCTGAAACCAGCAGCACCAGCAGCACCAGCGCAAGCAGCGGCACCACCGTGAGCAGCACGACTGGATCCAGCAGTACGACGCGCACCAGCACGAGCGAAACAAGCAGCACCACGCGCAGCAGCACCAGCGCAAGCAGCAGCACCACCGCGAGCAGCACGACTGGATCTAGCAGTACGACGCGCACCAGCACGAGCGAAACAAGCAGCACCACGCGCAGCAGCAGCAGCACCAGCGCAAGCAGCAGCACCACCGAGAGCAGCACGACCGGATCCAGCAGTACGACGCGCACCAGCACCAGCGCAAGCAGTAGCACCACCTTGACCAGCACCACTGAAACCAGCAGCACCACTGCGACCAGCACCGCAGTGACCAGCACAACGGGAACCAGCAGCACCAGCGCGACCAGCAGCACCAGCGCAAGCAGCGGCACCACCGTGAGCAGCACGACTGGATCCAGCAGTACGACGCGCACCAGCACGAGCGAAACAAGCAGCACCACGCGCAGCAGCACCAGCGCAAGCAGCAGCACCACTGCGACCAGCACGACGGGATCCAGCAGCACCACGCGCAGCAGCACCAGCGCAAGCAGTATTACCACCTTGACCAGCACCTCTGAAACCAGCAGCACCACGCTCACCAGCATCAGCACCAGCGCAAGCAGCAACACCATTGTGTCCAGCACGACTGGAACCAGCACGACGGGATCCAGCAGCACCACGCGCAGCAGCACCAGCGCAAGTAGCACCATCACATTGACCAGCGCAAGTAGCACCAGCGCGACCAGCAGCACCAGCGCAAGCAGCAGCACCACCGCGAGCAGCACGACTGGATCTAGCAGTACGACGCGCACCAGCACGAGCGAAACAAGCAGCGCAGCAGCACCAGCGCAAGCAGCAGCACCACCGTGAGCAGCACGACTGGATCTAGCAGTATGACGCGCACCAGCACCAGCGAAACAAGCAGCAGCATCACCGTGAGCAGCACCACTGGATCCAGCAGCGCCACGCGCAGCAGCACCAGCGCAAGCAGCAGCAGCGCAAGCAGCAGCACCACCGTGAGCAGCACGACTGGATCTAGCAGTTCGACGCGCACCAGCACCAGCGAAACCAGCAGCAGCACCACCGTGAGCAGCACGACTGGATCCAGCAGTACGACGCGCACCAGCACGAGCGAAACAAGCAGCACCACGCGCAGCAGCACCAGCCCAACAAGCAGCACCACAGTGACCAGCACAACGAGAACCATCAGCACCAGCGCGACCAGCAGCACCAGCGCAAGCAGCAGCACCACCGTGAGCAACACGACTGGATCCAGCAGTTCGACGCGCACCAGCAGCATCAGTGTGACCAGCAGCGATACCGTGAGCAGCACTACTGGATCCAGCAGCACCACGCGCACCAGCACCAGCCCAACAAGCAGCACCACAGTGACCAGCACAACGAGAACCATCAGCACCAGCGCGACCAGCAGCACCAGCGCAAGCAGCAGCACCACCGTGAGCAACACGACTGGATCCAGCAGTTCGACGCGCACCAGCACGAGCGAAACCAGCAGCAGCACCACCGTGAGCAGCACGACTGGATCCAGCAGTACGACGCGCACCAGCACGAGCGAAACAAGCAGCACCACGCGCAGCAGCACCAGCGCAAGCAGCAGCACCACTGCGACCAGCACGACGGGATCCAGCAGCACCACGCGCAGCAGCACCAGCGCAAGTAGCACCATCACATTGACCAGCGCAAGTAGCACCAGCGCGACCAGCAGCACCAGCGCAAGCAGCAGCGCCACCGTGAGCAGCACGACTGGATCTAGCAGTTTGACGCGCACCAGCACTAGCGCAACAAGCAGCAGCACCACCGTGAGCAGCACCACTGGATCCAGCAGCACCACGCGCACGAGTACAAGCGCAACCACCAGCGCCACCGTTAGCAGCACGACTGGGTCCAGCAGTACGACGCGCAGCAGCACCAGCGCAAGCAGCAGCACCACTGCGACCAACACGACTGGATCCAGCAGCACCACGCGCAGCAGCACCACGCGTAGCAGCACCAGCGCAAGCAGCAGCACCACCGTGACAAGCACGACGAGAACCAGCAGCATCAGTGTGACCAGCAGCGATACCGTGAGCAGCACTACTGGATCCAGCAGCACCACGCGCACCAGCACCAGCCCAACAAGCAGCACCACAGTGACCAGCACAACGAGAACCATCAGCACCAGCGCGACCAGCAGCACCAGCGCAAGCAGCAGCACCACCGTGAGCAACACGACTGGATCCAGCAGTTCGACGCGCACCAGCACGAGCGAAACCAGCAGCAGCACCACCGTAAGCAGCACGACTGGATCCAGCAGTTCGACGCGCACCAGCACGAGCGAAACCAGCAGCAGCACCACCGTGAGCAGCACGACTGGATCCAGCAGTACGACGCGCACCAGCACGAGCGAAACAAGCAGCACCACGCGCAGCAGCACCAGCGCAAGCAGCAGCACCACTGCGACCAGCACGACGGGATCCAGCAGCACCACGCGCAGCAGCACCAGCGCAAGTAGCACCATCACATTGACCAGCGCAAGTAGCACCAGCGCGACCAGCAGCACCAGCGCAAGCAGCAGCGCCACCGTGAGCAGCACGACTGGATCTAGCAGTATGACGCGCACCAGCACTAGCGCAACAAGCAGCAGCACCACCGTGAGCAGCACCACTGGATCCAGCAGCGCCACGCGCAGCAGCACCAGCGCAAGCAGCAGCACCACAGTGACCAGCACGACTCGAACCAGGAGCACTACCAGCACCGAGACGTCTGGCACGACCGTGTCCTCGACCACCCTGTCGTCTACCTCCGAGTCGTCGACCACGTCCATGACGACGACCTCCGCGACGACTTCTTCAACCCTGACCCGGACCACGACCACGGGGACGTCGAGCGTGACTACAAGCACTGAGACTTCTAGCACGACCTTGTCTTCGCCCACCCTGTCGTCCACCTCCGAGTCGTCGTCCACGTCCATGACGACGACCTCCGAGACGACTTCTTCAACCCTGACCACGACCACGGGGTCGTCGAGCGTGACTAGAAGCACCGAGACGTCTAGCTCGACTGTGTCCTCGACCACCCTGTCGTCTACCTCCGAGTCGTCGACCACGTCCATGACGACGATTTCCGCGACGACTTCCTCAACCCTGACCACGACAACGACCACGGGGTCATCGAGCGTGACTACAAGCACCGAGACGTCTAGCTCGACCTGGTCTTCTACCTCTGAGTCGTCGATTACGTCCATAACAACGACCTCCCAGACGTCTTCCCCAACCCTGACCACAACCACGGGGACGTCGAGCGTGAGTACAAGCACCGAGACGTCTAGCTCGACCGTGTCCACTTCGAGCTCGTCATCGGAGAGTTCCACCACGAGCATTACTACAACCACTGTGAGTTCAACCACTCAGACTTCCAGCACGACGGTATCCTCAACCACTGCGAGCTCGACCACGGAAAGCTCCACCACGAGCGTTTCCACAACCACCCTGAGTTCAACCACGCCGACTTTCACCAGCGGGAGTTCCTTGACTAGCGTGTCCTCAATCACTTCGATGACAACGACTGAAAGCTCCACCAAAAGCATGTCTACAACCACGTTGAGTTCAATCACGCAGACTTCCACCAGCAGGAGTTCCAGCACTTCCTTGTCCTCGACAACGAAAAGCTCCACCACGAGCCTTTCCAACACCACCTTGAGTTCAATCACTCAGACTTCCACCAGCAGGAGTTCCAGCGCGACCTTGTCCTCGAGATCGGCGAGTTCCACGACGAGCATCTCCTCATCGACCTTGAGTTCAACCACTCAGACCTCCACCTCCTTGAGTTCAAGCACTCAGACTTCCGCCAGCTGGAGTTCCAGCACGACCGTGTCGTCGACCTCTGCAAGCTCGACTACGGAAAGCTCCATCACGAGCCTTTCCACAACCACGTTTAGTTCAACAACGCAGACTTCCACCAGCAGTAGGTCCAGCGCGACCGTGTCGTCGACCTCTGCAAGCTCGACTACGGAAAGCTCCACCACGAGCCTCTCCACAACCACGTTTAGTTCAACAACGCAGACTTCCACCAGCAGTAGGTCCAGCACGACCGTGTCGTCGACCTCTGCAAGCTCGACTACGGAAAGCTCCACCACGAGCCTCTCCACAACCACTTTTAGTTCAACAACGCAGACTTCCACCAGCAGTAGTTCCAGAACGACCGTGTCCTCGATCACTGCGAGCTCGACTACGGAAAGCTCCACCACTAGCCTTTCCACAACCACTTTTAGTTCAACAACGCAGACTTCAAGCAGTGCCACTTCCACCAGTGAGAGTTCGAGTACGACCGTGTCCTCGATCACTGCGAGCTCAACCACCGTCAGTACAAGTAGCGGCAGCTCTACCGCGACTCGATCTTCGCGCACTGAGACGACGTCCACCTTGAGCTCAGCCAGTGGGACTTCCACCACGACCGCATCCTCCACCACTGGGAGTTCCATCAGCCGGACCGTAACTACTACAACTGGGACATCTACCACCACCGTGACTACGACAACACCATCTTCGACGACTCGTAGTTCGACTACCGAGACGTCAACCACCAGCGTGAGCACAACCACCCCGACGTCCAGCAACAGCGAGACATCTTCCACGACGCTGTCCTCCGAAAGCCCAACGTCGACGGGTACTTCGACCAGTGCCACGCCGACCTCCGATTCCTCCACCACCACTGCTACAACATCGAGAACATCCACCTCGACTGCCACGGACACGTCAACGCTCTCATCGACCAGCGTTACCTCGACCTCTAAGACCTCGACTACTAGAACCTCGAGTACAACCATCTCGACATCTGTGACATCTACCAGCACCGCTACTGACACGAAGACGTCAACCACCACCGCGACATATACAACCACCCGCAGCTCGACAATGACACGGAGTGCGACTGATACCTCTTCGGGCACGTCCACGACGTCGTTCCACACTACAACAGGGTCCAGCACTACATCGTTGACGACTACGCTCACGACAATCACAGAGACCAGCATTACGGAGTCCAGCATTACGGAGTCTAGCATTACGGAGTCAATGACCACATGGACGGCCACCCCGAGGCGGTTCTCCACCATCAAGTCTCAGTTTGGGGTTGATCTGGACTCCACCGTCACACAGGCGCAAGTGGAGATCGTTGCGCAGTCCTCCATTGCGACGTACTTGGAGACAAGCGAGTCTTTGATCACCATAGACGACGTGTATGAGGTCATTTTACGACGCCGTCCTGTTGCGGAGAGGAAGCTCACTTCGGCCGCCACGTTGTGGCATGTGGATTATCGCGTCGAATTTGAGGGGGTGGACTACGAGCGCGTCCAGCGCGCCGTGGCCTCAATCGAGAACGATACAGTGGCAGGCCAGACAAATTTTACCACTGCGATCCTGGCATCGTTGGCCAATGAGGGCATAAACTCATCAGTGCACGTGAGGTACGTTTTCGATCCTGTCGTGGAGCTTTGGATGTACACCACGGCAACCCTCACATCGACGTCAATGACGACGACATCGTCAACGACATGCTGCGTGTGCCCATGGCCAGACGTCGACCCCGTTCCCATACAGGTCGCGGGACCTGACTTTGACACCATCTCCAGCCTGCATGACCTGCTCCGCATCGAGTGCACAGGATTCAAGTGGGGCGACATTTGCACTCCAGTCTGCGCGGAGGGCTACCACGTTGAAGAAACGCTCCTCTGCAGCAGCGTCACCGAGAACGGGGCGATCCTCGTAGACGGGGAGTGGCAGGGGACCGCCAGGTGCGAGCCCAACGTCTGCGTTGGAAGCCCACAACTTGAGATGCCGGTCGGCTACGACGGCGTGGACACGGGTTGCTCGGACAGGAATTACACGCAGACGTGCAACGTCTCGTGTTCGGTGGACGATGGCTACGAAAATCTGGCGGACCCTATATCAATCGAGTGCACGGCCACGACGGCCTACGCATGGGTCAACACCACGGGAGCTTGCACAGAGAAAGCCTGTTACGCAGACACTGTGCCGTTCATTGCGAACGTGGTCGACAGTTCGTCTTGTATCAACATCGCCAGCGGCGTGAGTTGTTCGCCCGTGTGCAACTCGTCATACGAGCTCCTTGCTCCCATCAACTGCACGAGGGGCGCTTTCGACCTGGTCCCGCTGGTCTGCGTGCCGACTGCGGATGTAGAGGCGCTCGACTCGGCAGTAGGCCTCGTCGTGGAGGCGGCGCTCGTCGGCAGCAGCCCGGGCTCGGACCTCACCGCCGAGTGGGCCGCAGGCAGTGAGCAGTGGCAAGCGATCAAGGGCGCTTTCGGCGCGGTACTCGGCCTGTCCACTGGCCAGATCTACGTGTACACGATTAAGGGCCTGAACTCGGATTACCAGTCTGGCCTCCCATCGAGGCGTCTGACGACGTCGCAGGGGTTGTGGATGCGGCTTCTGTTCCAAGTGTACCCCACAAACAGCGAGACGACCATCGCGAGTGGTCTGGCAAGCCTGGGTGCGGACGGGGGCAACTTCACCCGCGAGCTGGTTGCGGCTCTGCGGGATGCGCACGCCGTCGTCCCACAGGGCCTCGCCGCGGCCACGCTCGTTGTCGGGACGCCAGCTTCCACCGTCGTGACCGTCCCCGTGGCACGCTGGGTGGCGCGCGGCACCTGGTCGGCCTGCACCAACCCGTGCGGCAAGGGGGAGCAGACCCGCACAGTGCGCTGCCTGACCGGCTTCGAGGAGCTGTGCAACGCGAACGCCGCGCCAGGCTACACCAAGGAGTCGTTCATGCCTGACACGAGAGACTGCGAGACGTACATCTCGTGCCCCTACGACTGGAGCTGCCCCTCGGGCGGGGACCCGGTCACTGGCGAGGGCTGCGAAGCGCAGGCCTCTGTCGTGATGGGCTCGATCGTCGTCTCGTTCTTCCTTGTGTGCTGCTGCTGCGTCCGGTACGTCCGGAGGATGATCGTGCTGCCCACGAGAGGTTTTGTGGGCGTCCGGCTGGGCCGCGATGGCGCGAAGGTTGACATCGAGTGGACGAGGGATGACGGGATCGTCGGCGAGGACGGCCATCAGAAACCGAGATTGAGTTACAATCTCGGCCCAGACGAGATGGCCCAGTTCTACGAGGACCGCGAGCGCGCGCCCGGCTGCGCCACCCTGATCCCGTGGGACGAAGCGGAGGATCCGATCGGGCCCGTGGACCTCGACTTCAGCGGCACGGTTGACTTTGAGATGCAGCTAACAGTGAGGACCTTGGCTAAGGATTCGCTGGTGATCGGGAAGGTCTTCCCCGACGGCGAGACGCCGTACGGCAGCGGCAAGCCGAAGGCCCTGGTGATCAAGAACGGCGTCCCCGCCTGGCAGATCGGCGACAAGTGCATCACCGGCCAAACGAACGTCGCCGACGGCTACCAGCACGAGCTCTCGGTCAAATACAGCACGAGCCAGGACGCGTACATTCTCGAGGTCGATGGTGTGGTGGAGGCCGAATGGCGGGGCGCCGTCGTCGACCATCCAGACACGAAGCTTTGCCTGGGCACCTCGTGCGCGCCGAGGAACGACAAGTTCAACGAGCTGTACGAGGACCTCGAAGAACTGCACATCGCTGGCATCGAGGTGCATCCGCTGGAGGAGCGGGGGGGCGAGCCCCTCTTCGACGGCGACATCGACGAGCTCACCTGGAAGGAGTACAGGTGGAACAAGAACCTCGGCAGGATGGCCTGGTTCGCGTATGAGCTAAGCGTGGAGGCCGAAGAAGCGATTGGCACGGTGATGAAGCAGCGGGCGACCGCCTGGGCGCCTCTGGTGCCCTTAGTCGAGGTGCCCTCGGTGAGCGCGTCCCACATTGCGTTCGAGAAAGGCCAGACAGTGGAGTACTGGTCGAAAACCATGCAGGCATGGATTCCAGCCAGAATCGTCGATTTCAAGCACGTTTACTTCGACAAGGACCTCGAGATCAACATGATCAAATTCAGCGTGAACGTGATGTCGGCGGGCCAGGTGATGCCCAAGGTCGAGATGAAGTACTTGCGCCTGCCATTGAATGCAGGTGAACCAGTATGCATATTTTCCCCGATGCATGGGAAGTGGTTCCCAGCCGTGGTTAGCAAGTCGAGGGAGGTCTTTGACGCACGGCTCGGTTACGACGTCACGCTGGAGGACCGGCTGGCCGACGACGGAGAGACGTTTGTCAAGACCGAGCTGCAGCGAGACCTGGAGAAGTACTACAGGGACCGGAGAGATCGCGAGAGGGCGGAGGGCGGGTATATACCCGAGCGGCGGAGCCTGCAGCCGGAGGAGAGCAGAGACGGTGTGCCCACGCTGAAGAGCATGCCGGCCAAGCGCCTGCGGAGACGCTACACCAGGGGAGACCTCGTGAGCGTGTACAGGGGCGTCGACGTAGGTTTCACGACGGCCGAGGTCGTCCGAGAGATGGACACGGCAGAGCAGGGCCTTCGCGCGGAGCCGGAGCAGGCGGTGCGGGGGAAGAGGGCAACGCCATCCCCGAGGAGTAGTTTGGCCACAGATGGCGAAGAGGACATGCGCAGGTTGGAACGCGAGCTCGACCGCAAACTGGCCGGGATGCCAGCCAAGCAGCTTCCGCAGGATGCCCAGCCGAGACTTTCGAGATCTTCTCAGAGACTTTCGAGATCTTCTGGCAGTGACCACGAGGATGAAGCAAGTGGCGCAGCCACGAAGAAGACGAAGAACAAGGCGAAGGCGAGCGCCAGCGATCATCGCCACGCGACGATCGTCATCAGGCCCGTCAGCCACCCCCAGGAGTCCAAGCGCGGGGGCGGCAGCGAGGGTGCCGTCGCCATGCCAGGAGACACCGAGATCCAGGTACCCGAGTTCCTGTTGCGCCCGATGCCGCGCCGGATCAGCGACCAGCAAGAGGACCGTTCGAGATCGTTGGCTGCGGGAGTGCTGTCGTCCCTGCGGCGCCTCGCGCCGCAGGCGGCGCCCCCGGCCCCCCCGACGCTGGCGGGGCCCCCGCGCTCCGCCGGCGCGTCGCCGCAGCCGCCGCCCCCGGAGGAGCTCCTCGACGTCTGAGGAGCGCACCTCTCGGCGGGTAGGTCGGCCCGGCGCGCGCCCACAAGGTCACAAGGGGGCACAAAATTACTCACTTCGTGGAGCTCCCCATATGTGTATCTCATGTTTTATCTTATGCCGTAGTGAGCGTCTGTTCATGAGCGTTTGACTATAATAGCCCGTCCACGTTGGCGACAGGCCCGACGAAGATCTCCACCTCTTACTCTTACTCTTACTCTTACTCCTCCTCCTCCTCCACCTCTTACTCTTACTCCTCCTCCTCCTCCTCCTCCTCCTCCTCCTCCTCCTCCTCCCCCTTTCCTCCATCCTCACAATCTGCTATGAAAGCCAAGGATGTTGGGCATGAAAACGAGCAGACCGCCTGGGACATCCCCACAAACTGGCCGCGAACGGGCCCGTGATATACCCCCTGGCGGCTCCCCTTAGGGGTGATGAAACCAGCGCCCCGCCTGAGACATCCTCACAATCTGCTATGAAAGCCAAGGATGTTGGGCATGAAAACGAGCAAACCGCCTGAGACATCCCCGCAAACTGGCCGCGAACGGGCCCGTGATATACCCCCTGGCGGCTCCCCTTAGGGGTGCTGAAACCAGCGCCCCGCCTGAGACATCCTCACAATCTGCTATGAAAGCCAAGGATGTTGGGCATGAAAACGAGCAAACCGCTTGAGACATCCCCACAAACTGGCCGCGAACGGGCCCGTTATATACCCCCTGGCGGCTCCCCTTAGGGGTGCTGAAACCAGCGCCCCGCCTGAGACATCCTCACAATCTGCTATGACAGCCAAGGATGTCGGGCATGAAAACAAGCAAACCGCCTGAGACATCCCCACAAACTGGCCGCGAACGGGCTCGTGATATACCCCCTGGCGGCTCCCCTTAGGGGTGCTGAAACCAGCGCCCCGCCTGAGACATCCCCACAATCTGCCGTGCGTTGAGCAACTCAGACTATGAGAAGGTCTGAGTATGTGTGGGTCTGAGTATGAGCAAGTCTGTGTATGAGTACGTCTGGGTATGAGTAAGTCTGAGTATGAGTAAGCCTGTGTATGAGTAAGTCCTTGTATGTGTACGTCTGGGTATGAGTAAGTCTGAGTATGAGTAGGTCTGAGTATGAGAATGTGTGAGTGTGCATAAGTCTGTGTATGAGCAAGTCTGGGTATGAGCAAGTCTGAGTAGAGGAGGAGAGGAGGAGGAGGAGGAGAAGGAGGAGGAGGAGGAGGAGGAGGAGGAGGAGGAGGAGGAGGAGGAGGAGAAGGAGGGAGGAGGAGGAGGAGGAGGAGGAGGAGGAGGAGGGAGGAGGAGGAGGAGGAGGAGGAGGAGGAGGAGGTTTAAGTGAGAAGGTGCCTGGCAGAAACCAAACAGTGAGCGCCCGACCCGCGACGAGCACAAGCACTGTTCGGGCTCAAAACAAAACACTAGCAGCGGACAAGCACGCGCGCTATTTTGGCAGACGCAGGTGCGTGCCGTCCTCCACCACGCTCAGGCTAGGCCTCAGCAGAGGCCCAGCTGTGCCGCCAGACTGGCGGCCCCTCGGCCCGAACCGCTAGGCGGTCAAGGCCGAAAAAGGAAAAGGACCTACGAAGGGCCAGGGAGGGCCTGGGAGGGAAGGGCCCGAGAAGGAACTTGAGCCCCAGAGGGGCCGCGGAGAGGGGGAAAGGGACAGAAGGCAAGAGAGACCCTTCCCCCTCACCAGGCACTTACTCCCTGAAACCCTACGTTTTACGCACGCTCAAACTCTCACGTTTAAGTGAGAAGGTGCCTGGCAGAAACCAAACAGTGAGCGCCCGACCCGCGACGAGCACAAGCACTGTTCGGGCTCAAAACAAAGCACTAGCAGCGGACAAGCACGCGCGCTATTTTGGCAGACGCAGGCGCGTGCCGTCCTCCACCACGCTCAGGCTAGGCCTCAGCAGAGGCCCAGCTGTGCCGCCAGACTGGCGGCCCCTCGGCCACCCAGCTTCTCTCACCCCCTCGGCGCCCGTGACTTGCGGGTGGTGCCGAATGGGGCTCACAGCTGGGCGCCTCACTGCACAGCGCGTGGCCGGCGCTGGCGGGACGCCAGCCGACCTCCTCTACCTCTCCTCGGGGACCGCACTGGCGGGACGCCCCGGCCCACCTCCACCTCTCCTCGGGGACCGCACTGGCGGGACGCCCCGGCCCTCGACCTCCTCACCTCCGCTCGCCCCCTCGGCGCCCGTGACTTGCGGGTGGTGCCGAATGGGGCTCGCAGCCCTCCTCCACCTCTCCTCCATCTCTCCTCCTCCAACTTTCCCGGGGGCCGCACTGGCGGGTCGCCCTGGGGTCTATCTCCTCACCTCCGTCGATCCTAGGGGTCACCACTGTCCCCAGGCCGCTGCCCCAGGACTGCGCACAATCCAACATCGGCCCCTCCAGTGGTGACTCGCCTCGGCACAAAACTCAAACTCCTGCTACTATCCTCAGGCCACTGACTTTTCCTTCACATCAGCGGCCGGTCCATCTCCCGCCACTTCAACCTTGTACCCCACATGCAGGGTTGCAACAGACTTCGCCATCGCCTCAGACACCCCGGCGGCGTCCTCATTCGCCTCCCACAAATGCTGGTGGAAGGCTCCGCTATTCCACCGCCCCCAACGCTTCACCAGCTCCGTGTCCTGGAAGCAGTGGTACAAGGCCGTTGCTCCGCCAATTCTGAGCGAATGGCTCTTGAACCTGTCGGGTGGGTAGCCTTCCAGCGCCGCCGCCTTCTGAAGCAAGCCCTGGATACGCTCCCGCGTGATCGGGCTGCCGTCCTCCCACCTCGCAAGCGGTAAGTGTGCCTCTTTCCCCGTGATACGGCTTGGGAACCAACGGTTGTAGCACTCCGCCGCCCACACTGGGCAGATGCCGAACGGGTCGTTCGAGCGGTAGTGGTTCCTCGCCTGCCCTGCTCCCTTCTGGTCGGCCTTCGACGCCTTGAACCACAGCACCACCTCGTCCGCCGCGGCGAAATGGCTCACCTGCTCGCCCTTGCTCTTCGGGGCGATGTCCAGCCCGGTCAAGACTTTCTTCAAATCCCAGTGCCCTGAGTGGGCGTACTCCCCAATCCGCATCATGAAAAAGAAAGCGAAGATCACGCAGAAGTACAAGGCCGCGTCGTCCGCACAGGCGTCCGGCTTCAGCATGTCTCGGATCCTCCTCAACATCTTGGTCGTGATTGGGAGCTTCCTCTTTCCGGGCCCTTGCCAGTTCTCGATCCCATTTAAAGCCATCCACAGCCGCGGCTTACCCGCCAAGGGGTCGGGCTCCCCCAGCATCACGTGTTGTGAGCGGATCCCCAGCAATTTAGACCGTATCGTACCGTGTGACCGCTTCAGGCTGTTGTACAGGTGCACCATGAACAGCAGCAGCTCCTCCTCGTCTTGGTGACGCTCGTCGCGAGTCTCGCCATGTAGAATGGGCGACCTCCTGCGGATCTGGCAGAAAGTCGTCCACTGCCTCCAAGCGACGCCGTAGGTCGCCTTCGTCCCTTTGGCCACCGAAGCCACCACGGCTGCGTCTACCAACTTCTGGAGCTCTGGCGCTTAACCAGCATCAGCACGCCCGCCGGCCCGCCTGGAGTCCTCCCTGGCGATCCGCCTGAGCTGCCGCTCTAGCCCTTCACTGCCCTGGCTGCTGCCCGCTGCCGCCGCCAGGTACCGGCTCACCGCCTCCGGGTCGATGTCCTCGGGCGGCCTCGCCTCCTGTGCCTCACACAGCGCTCCCTCCTCACGCTCACGTTCCTCTCCTCCCCCTCGCCAGTGGGCCGCGCGGCGCGGCGTGCGAGGACGCCTGCCCGGTTGGCCTTCCGGGGGGCCGCGGGCGGTCCGCGCCACCGCCCTTGGCGGCGTCCTCTCCTCCTCCTCCTCACGGCGCTCCTCTGGGCTTCGGTCGGGGGCCCGCGCGCGCACGCGTCCGACCCGCTTGGGCCGCGGCCGCGGCCGCGCTCCCTGCCTTGGCTGCCCTCTGTGCTGCCAACGACCGGCCCCTCACCATCGAAATGAGGTAGGTCCGGTTGCACATCGGACAGCCCATGTCCCGGCCCTCGCCCTGCACGCCGCAGTACTCACACCACGCATAGCGGGCATCCGGGCCGCCACCTGGGAACGGCACTGGCCGAAGCTCATCCACCTCCTCCTCTGCCCCCTCAGAATCCTCCTCAGAGTAGGATTCGGGTGAGTTGAGGTCCCTCACGTCCTCGGCGGCTCGCTCGGGTCCGCCTGGCCTGAGCGGGTCCTCCTCCGCCCAGTGGCCAGGGGGCTGCGGCAGCCTCGCCGGCCCGCCGGACCCGCTCGACCCCCCCGAAGGGGGTACCCAACTTCCCGGTTGGGGTAGCGGCTCGCGGTCGGCACGTCCCTCTGGTTGCGGGAGTGGCTCTCGGCCAGGTCGGGGGTGGGCAACTGGCTTCTCCGCCCTGGCGGCCCCTTCCTTGGGGCGGCCCTCCTCCTCGGGGGCGGACCAGAGCCCTGTCCTCTGGAACTCCACCCGCCAGGCGAGGGCGCGGTAAGTCTGACCGACCGCCCGCGTGACCTCCGTCGGGGGCTCCTCCTCCGACCCCTCCTCCTGCTTGACCTCCGCTGGTGCAGGTGGGGTCCTCGCCCTAAGGCGGATATACTCTGCCCGTCCCTCACCTGGGTGCCTGGCTGCGTTCTTGAGCCGATCCGCCTCCGCCTTCCTCTGCCGGGTGGCCGCTCGCTCCGCACGCGCCCGCCGGGCGAGCTCCCCCGGTGACGGGGGGGGCACTCCTCGCTCTGGCTCCCACGACTGCCGCTCTCCTCACCCCGCTCCTCCACGGCTCCTAGCTCGGGCCCTGGGGGGGGGGCGGCCAGCGCGGCGGCGGCTAGCACCCGGGCGGCGGCCTCTGTGACCTCTTGCTTGCGCTCCTGCTTGCGCTTCTTGCCCGCCGCCGCGGTCGCCGGCGGCCCTCCCCCCTCGAGGTGTGGCTGGCCGTGGGGCGTCTTCTCGCAGTGCCTGAAATGCTTCGCGCCTCCTTCTGCCCAGTCC